TATATAAATATCTTTTATAAATCCGATTTTTTTTATAAAACCTCGCGTTTTATGAGATATTACTTTATTTATTGGATATTCGGTGATTTTATTTAATAATGCTTTTGTTATCAGTAGGAATCGAAGTTTGCAAAATTACCCGGATCACTAACAACAATCGAGCTGCTTAGAATTTATAATAGAAAATGCTGATAATGAATTTATAGTAAGTACATGGCTACTTACCATTAATGAGAAATCAGTTAATTCTGATCCATTAACACACGGTCCCTGTATGTTTCTATTTCATCTTCTAGCTACATATGGTTTTCCAACCTCCTACAGTTATTTAATGATTAACATTATCCACACACATCGTATAACATTATGTATGGGACCCAAATTAATAAATATTAATTTGAAAGAAAATTTAGATATTTGAATACATTGTTAAGCCAAAGCTCACAGTAATAAAATTTTTAAACGTATTGCAAAAACCAAATCGATCTGCCATTCGAGAGATAACAAATATGAGCACATTATTTAATTGTCTAATCCTTACATAAAACACGTTTCATATGTTTTATTATGATAATGCTTCGCTCTCTTTCATTAGCATAACAACAGTTCTGATCAACTTGTGAAATTAAGTATAATTTTAAACTTTTCTACAGTGAAAAAATGCAGTTAACAAGGGGAAGAAAGAATTCGAATAATTTGAGCTTTCCTCTTCTTAATATCAGAATCGTAATAGCTTCTCCTTCTAATCATCTATTTTTTACTGAAGAAGACAGGTGAAGTTGCTTTTATAAAAAGTGAAGAACATTCGCTTATGACTATTCATGAAATGATTCATATTTTACCTAAGTCATAAATCACATATATGATATTTCGTTTAATATACTGTCGATTTTTGCTAACTGACGAAGAAAATTCATCCGATAGAAAATGTATGCTTGTTATAAATTTAATTCAGTTTTATTTAGGTGTTGTGTAATGAAGATAACATTACACGTCGACTGATTTTTTCCCCTCAGTTTTGACCTGGTGATAAAGAGAAATAATTGGAAAATTATCCCCAGCGCAGGAGAGGGCTATAGCACAGCAGTCATGAATCATACATGACGGCTTCACCCCGCCATTTTGGGTTAGCATTGTTCGCATTCGTGTGTTCATCTCAGGGTCTGTTGTTTGAACGCCAGAGAAAGCGGTGCAAACCACTGAAGATTTCGATGACAGTTGGCTTCAAGGAACACCCGTAAGCCGACATTCCAAACCAAATTACATATATTTTGCTTTTCAGCTTATCATGGATGGCAGCTGATAAATCTTTCTCATTTATATCTTTTTTTGATCTTGTGACATTTCAGGTAATGTAATGACGCAATATTAAGATTGATTCGTTTTCGGATCCCCACTTGTTACAGTACATTTGAAAGTAGATGTAGCAAGCATAAAAGACTTGTGACATAAAGAAAAGTGATCTATATACGTATATATATATACATGAGATAGATTAATTTATGTCTATTTGCATCTCGCTGCAGCCATGCAAAAACTTGCTTTTGCATAGCATGTCATAAAATTGTTACAAGTAACAAAATGCTAGTATTTGATGCACTGTTCAGGACTTTATTGGAAAATGAAGAAACAGGGAGTACTAATTAAAATTTATAAAAATGAATAAATGTTGAAGCTGAATTAGCTAAATTATTAAGCCCTTTTTACTTTAGAATAAATTTGCATTTAATTATTTAATAAATAGAAACATTTTTTTCAATAGTAATGGTGTTCTAAAAGTAAACTTTTATTCTTATAAAAATGAAAAAGGTCTTTTACTGATAGGACAACTTGTATATCTTACTCTCAAGAAGCGCTTTCAAAGAACACAGAACAAAAACTATATGTAGTAACATGTTAAGAATCTGAATAATTTATTGTAAGTTTGCATGGTTGTATGAAGATGAAAAAAGAAAAAAGGAAATTCAGGCAATTAAAAATGCAATTCAAAATTTTGGTATAATTTCTAGTACAACACCTATGAATACTACATATACACATGGTTCGCCTTTTGTTTCTTAGAAAAATGAAGCTTACTATGCATAAAATGAAGCCAAAATTGGTGGTTTCACTCCCCTAAGGTATTCAAATACATAGTGTCTTATAGATGAAATATGATGTAGACATACGTAGAGTTAATTAATTAAAAGCCATGTTTCAGAGTGATTGTATTATTGTTAATCAAAAATGTAATTTAGTGTATCATATTTCTTGTAAAACGACAAATTCATTCCAAAATGCCAAATTTGTTTCCCTGATAAATGAAATTGAAATAATCAAAAAGAAAAAAGGTGGTGAAATTGTAGCATAGAGTTTTATCATAAATTTAGTGTTAAAAACTATAAACATTTATCACATTCCAGTATCACCATTAACTTGCAGAAATCTTTATTTGACACTCAAAAACTTTAACTATCCATTCGAGATTTTTCTACGTTCTAGTCTTTTTCAATAATTCCTAATTTACAATATTAACTTCCTGAAAGAAGTGCTTTTCATTTTATGCTATAAAAGTGAAATTACTGGATGCTGTTAAATAAATATCTCGCATTTATTTTGTTAAGCTAGTTTTTCCAGGTTTTAAAACTGTCATTTATATTTTTGCAAATTTAGTAAAAGTAAGGCTTTTTGAGGCAGGTTCAGTAAAAAAATAAATAAAGAAATAAAACATAATAATAAAAAGAAAGAAAGATATATGAATTACATATGGAAATTAATGAGATTATACTTTCCAACACCATTTTCTAGTCTGAGTTAAAGGGGAATGATTTCTTAGGATCTTTTTTCGTGTTAGCAGTATGATAGATAGTGGTAACCACAAGGTAGTAAGGCAAAGATAAGACCATACACATTCTCTATTGTTTACTTATGTTTTTCCATATCTTCTCTTCTAGCCAATACATTAATGAAGTGTTGAATTCATCAGACATTCCCTCTTGCTCAAATGGCTTAAGAAGGGTGAAAGGTCCTTAAAATTGAAATCAGAATTTATTTGAAATTTAATAAGAATATGGAAATTAACTTAGTAATATATAGATATGGTGTTACTTTTTTCAACAAAATTTTACCAAATGTCTTTTCTCTCATATTTAAATACTAATGCTATCCTATTAAGATTCAACACAAATGATACTATCCAACGATACTAACAGGAACGATAAAACCCCAGATAATGCAGAAAGTAGTATTAAAAACCTCAGCATGAATAGCCAGTATATATATACACATTTTCCTTTCTTCGTTTTTATATACATTTCTTATTTGCACTTTACATGTGAATTAAAAAGACTTCAGCAACTTAAAAAGAATAATCTGAAAGATATATATAGTAAATGTTCCACAATATAATTTAATGAAATGATTGCATCGCGTTACCATAATTTCTATACAGTCACACAAGAAATTTCTGTGCAGATTTTAATCAATTAGTATTAACCCAAAAATATTAGTGAATTAAAATTGCGAAATTATGTAAAGTTATTCATTCCAGATGTTGGTTATAGTGATAGAGTTGGAAATTATAAAGATAATGCTATTTCTGCAATTTTAAGGTATCGGGATTAAATTACAATATATCATGAATGTATTTTGCTTTCAATATTTGTATGCTTTCAATATATGTAAAGTTATTCATTCCAGATGTTGGTTATAGTGATAGAGTTGGGTAGAGTTGGGTAACAACAATACTTTTGCAGCATAAGTATTTAAGATCATTACAAATAAAATTGCCTTTAATTTCTAGTTTTTCAAAGCTGAGTCCACGAGTCTGTAAAATTCATTGTTAGAAATCCATTCAGCGTCTTAGTTATATATATCAGATCAGATCTCCTGTATACCCTATCAAATTTATCCTTCTAATTAAGAATAGCAAAAAAGATAATGCTATTTCTGCAATTTTAAGGTATCGGGATTAAATTACAATATATCATGAATGTATTTTGCTTTCAATATTTGTATGTAACAGAAATTAAAATTTTGCTGTCTTTAGAAAGATTTTCTCTAAAAACTAACCAAGTGATTTAACACTTATTTATCTTTCTCAAATTCATTTAAAAGTCGGACTATTTAAATAATATTATGATAAAATTTCATGTACTTATTCAGAAATTACTTTTACAAGAGATGGTTGTACATTGCTTATCATTAAGTTACATGTTATTTATTGACATTGTTTACTAGTACGTGCAATTCAATATTTGCTTCTGTTGTTTATATGATAAATAAAGCAGTAATTACGTACACGTTGAAGTAAATACATCTGTTAAACTATTTAAACATTTCTTGATCTCATGTAAACGAAACGCCTACTGAATATTATTTTATTATATTTGAGAGTGGAAAAATTTCGTGCAATTAACCACTCGGTAGCTACCTTCCGGTAGCACCAATATCGAAAAAGTACATTTTTTGCAAATGATATGTCGATGCATTTACGTAAGGGGGGGGAGAGGTGGTTGACCACCGTAAGGCAACGTACAGGGCAAAACAGTAAAAAATAAATAAATAAAAGAAAGGAGGAGGTTAAAAAAAATAGCATCGCCCCACTGGTCAAAAGCAACGCTTGAGCAGTCGAGAAATTCTCGATATAAACCGTTCAGCTATCCATGCAACTACGAAAGGAATGTAGTGAATCAATGTTCATTATCTTTCGAACGCGGTGCTTTTACTAGGAATGTACGGAATGTAAGATTGAATCCAGCTAATGAAATCCAAGTTTGTTAAGAGCCAGGCTTTTCATATAGAAATCCTTTTTCCATTACTTTCTCGGCTTTCCGTTATTTCATTGGCTAGTCGTTTTAATGAACTTTTTTTTTATTACTTTTTTTTTATTTGTTATTTTGATTTGTATGTCCAGAGCATGCCTTTTATGGCTCCTGGATTCTGAGCTATTGTCGCTGTAGTATATGCATTTATAATATTTTTTCTTGTGTAATTTTTTTTTCTCTGTCTCCTTTATCCAGAGTACATATACCATCTAACTACAAGCCGATGGTTTGCTGTTTTCTAAATTAGCAGAAGATGAACAATCTCTTCAAGGAATAAGCAATTACTCAACAGGTTATCTTATGTAAGTATGATGTAATAATAATACAGTAATTTTATTTCAATAATAGTTTACACTGTTCAATAACAGATTAGTTTCTATAACAGTTAATAACAGTTAACAAACATACAGTACTTAAAATCTATGAAATTACTGGTTCTGCATATCAATACAATCTGCTTTATTATATACATTTGAAACAGCTGGAAATTTGTTCACAAAATAGAAAACAATTTACTATCCACAATTTATTTAATTTAATATATGTGTAAGAATAAAGTAGTATAATATTACCAAAGTCTGTACATATTTGTGAATTTATGGGTACAGTCATATATCTACTCCCATCTTTTATGTAGAATTCCACAACATTATTAGCCTAAATAGAATACAATAATTAATGAAACGCATATCCTTCGGCTCATTTAAGTTTCAATAAACACTTTTCTTGTCTTCTTGTCTTCTGTTTTCGGAGTCATAATTTAAGTTACGAATCACGAAAATTAGATTTAATAACAGAGGAGCAACAGGAACCGGTTCTCATTTCTAAAGACAATAGGGATCATTGAAAATTGTTAAACGATTGTTCTAGCGTGATTTACCATAAATAATTTATCAACTAACCAAATAATATTTTAGGCAAAATTTAAAAGAAGGGATTAACAGTAAAATTAGATAAATAATACATCACAGTCAGAAAATGACGTGAAACGCAGTTTCAAAACGATGTATTCAAACATGTTCTCTTCTTTATTTAATAAAACAATTAGCACTAAATCGATGCTGTTAAATCAATATAATTTTACATTGGTGTATTTTGCAATGTTTATAGAGCTTATATGGCGGATCCTCGGCGACTTTCTTAATGAAACTTTCTTGATGAAATGGTGAAACGATCATTTTAACTATCTCACGGCAAATGCGTAGTCAGCAACTGCCCAGCCGTCTTCCTTATCGCAATAATAATGGTTTTCAAATTTATCTTTTATGTATATAGTAAGCTTTATACATTGCAATAAACAGAAGTACTACGAAAATATTTTACTTACAAAACTTTTGTTTTTCACTTTAGTTTAATACCATTAACAAATGTAAATTAAAATTAAAAATAAATAATTAAATATAAATTCTGCATTTTGATAGAGCCTTCAAAATATTATCACATTGCAATAAGTATACATCCTGGAATTTTATTTTAGAAAATATTTTTTGCTCATTCAAATATGTAATAAGGTATACGAAAAAAAAAAAAAGTTAAATTTCTCACTTGTAATTTAGAATAACAGCTGAACTCACTAAATTCCACCAAAATATGCGTAAGAAATACGCTTGTAAAAGACGGCAGAATAACCAGTCTTCTTTAATTAAATTTTTGATTACTAGAAAAAGAAAGACGCTAACTTAATGATCACAATGAAAAATTTTCTGTTTAATCAATAAGTAATTAATAAAAATCCATGCAATATTATGCTTGCATCTAAACTATTCCATCAAACAAATCAATCATTTAATCAACGTATTGCTCCTCTTGGTTTCATTTAATTTCTGCCCCTCCAAAAAACTCCCTTAGGACCACTCAATCCACTGCATTCATCGGGAGGGGGGAAGCAAGCCAGACAAGGGCGCGATAAATTAAGCTTTTAGATGTCGGTCCCGACCTGTAGTAAAGAGCGTGAATAACGCGTAAATCTTCTTCGCTCTTCGCGGAAGAGTCACCGTGACCGATGTATTAATGCTGTTACGTCCAGGCTGAAAGCGGAACTGAATGTAGAAGGTGGTGCGGTACGTGACTGGATGCTAGGCATGAGCTATTAAGCATTTGCAGGAAATGCTTTAGCTTTCAGTATATAGAATTTTTGCTATGAATATTAAAATTTATGAAGTTTCCCGGGAATGTTATTTTGTTACAAAAATTATGTTTTTAACAAGCTTTGCGTCGTTTGGAATTATAAATTCTAACCGCATGTAACGTTTTAATTGTGAAGAGCTACAAGCAATAATAGTTAACTCAGAAATGAATATGCTTATTTTGATGTGATAGGTGACAATATGAACCAGTTATTCGAAGGCTATAGCCCACCAGTAACCAAATGGCTATGGTCAGTTGAACACAGTTAATTTGTCTCCGGATGTTTTTTTTAGGGAGCTGGCTGGGCGAGCGGGTTTTTCCGATGTGTTACGTGAAGTTTTCTTAAAACTTCATCTATGAAAGCATTCTTTTTAAGGCAGATATCCGTCGCATGATTTGCCGCTGTCAACCAGCCAGTCATTTGGCCCATCTCAGATAACAGATTTACATAAAAACCGTGCTGTTTTTCGCTTGATTAATAGCTGATAAGGATTAAAAACAAAATTAATTCGATATTATTATGTATCAGAAAGAAATTGTAAACAACTCTTGAATTTACGAAATTCAAACTAAAAACAGACTGAATTCTTAAACTATTTTCCTTTTAGAGGAATATTAATTTCAACACTAGCACTATCGGATCGAATGAAATGTTAATAAGGATGGAGAACAATAAGAATGATGGCTGAAATTTAAAATTTTTCACCGAATTTCGTAAAAGCAATAATGCTCCTTTAGAAAAGTAAAAGAGAAAAGAAATTGATTGCATATCTAAGGTATAGTGTTTTCTGTAATTAATATAACTTCATTTGTTTAGATCTCTGATCTCCTCCTCCCACCAATAATCTAAGAAATAAATTTTAAATATTATTTTTTACCGAGATCATCTGCTAATCTAGAAGAGTTAGAAAAATTAGATGGTTCCGTTGAAGTAATTTAAACATAATCCATTAAGATACAGTTAGTGGAAAAGTAAGTAGTAGGTCAAGAATTGAGATTTTGGAATTAACTTTTCTCAGAACTAACCTCACACTATTTGAAATAATTAATGCTATGCTTACTTTAGAATATCTTTAGGTAGACAAGTTTAAATATTTAACAAATTAATAAAAATCTATCTTTCATTGAGAAAAATTGAAACGGTAATCAGAGAAATTTTAATAACACTGAACTACTTTATCAGTTTAAATAAAAGGTTCACATTAACGCTTAATACTCTAAGCATTTCAGGTAATTTCCATTATTTTCCCCTGACAAAATTTAACACTGGTTTATTTAACGCAAATATAACTTTTTATTTGTACTTCTTATATAGCATAAAAAATTGTATGTTTTTTGGCGTGGTCACTTTTATTATTCTTTTATTAGCCATTAACTTTTTTTTGTATATATATATACGTCTATGTATATTAATTAATTTGGATCTGATCAGATTATAATCTAATAAAAGAATTTTTAAATTTTTAATTAAAAACTCTCTGACTTTTAAAATTTTTTACTACTTTCTATGCAACTTCATTATATTTCCAATTCTTAGCGAGTTTCACAAAATTAGTAGCATTTACGTATTCTTATCTGCTATGCGTAATTTTATGATATCGCAAAATGAATAAGAGATATTTTAAAAAGCTTGATATTATGTACAATATACGAATTTAATCATATTAGATTTTACGCTAAATATCTCTTTTACTAATTAATAAAATTATTATTAACATGATTTCTAATTAACATACTGGGATCAGATTGCAATCTGCACTTTTTTATATATGTATAATAGTTAAATTTTATGATGCGGCTATTTTTCTTTCCTTTAACACTAATAACCTTTCAATGTCGCACTTAATATCAGCCATACGCAGGAGCTTCTTTACTCTTACGCAGGGTTTTTATCAATCAGCAATGATTTGATTCGTCCAGTCATTTTCTATAATTTACAAATAAGTTTCTCTGTATCGAAAAGTATATAACTGCATAGCATATGTCTAGTTTGTTGTATAACAGCAAATTTCAATCAGGTACCAAGCAACGTTCTGAAGGGATTCTGAACTTTTCTTTACTAAAACCAAATGAACAAGAAAAAGAGACGTCATCTAATAAATATGAGGTATACATTTTTAACAAAATTTCAAAGAGTGATTTTCATGCCTAAATACTATTTTCTATAAAAAAAAAATATGCTGAAGATTTTTTGTTAACCTAGGATATTTTCTGTTACTATCAACTGAAGGATATTTAAAGTTCATTCTTTCTAAAATTTGACCTCTAATAAACTCGTATTTTAATTGGTCTGTGAAATTTCTGCTCAAAGAATTTTCTTTACCTCTTATCAAATTCAAGATCACAATTAAAGCTAATTACATTTATTTTTATTAAATACTTAATTTATTACAGTTCTGAAAACTTCAAGGGTTATAACATTTATTTGAAACCCGGCTGCAATTTTAATAAACTGGGTACTTTTCAATAAAGGGGGAATTTAACCGTGCCTCAGGTGAAAGGCAGCTTCAGTTATGAAGTTTACTGCAGGCTGTAAACATATATTTGCAAAATATTCCCAGTCTCTTAAATTACGCTAACAATATTATGGTCTCAGCATATAAGCTATCAGATGTATAAACCTAGGTATAAAGCTAAATGTTGTTTTAAAGTTTATTAGCAAGATCTCCTTCCTTTACAGAGATTTCACATGAAACCACAAGTATGAAAAAATCATTAAAAATACAACTTAAATCCTTAAGTTCCTAGTATAACTATTTTCCATACATTTCACTGAAAGTAGATGTCATTTGAGACACACACACTGTTTTAACTCAGTAACAATGCAAATATGAACTACATTTTTAATCATTGCATAATGTTACAATGCTAAAATTTTTAAATATTATTTCTATAGATATCCTATGTTATAAGAATCTGAAGTTTCTTGAGTGAATAACTTCCTCCAAGTCCGTTTCTATTATTATAAATTTAACTGTTTTCTCGAATGTTATTGTAAGTCATTATTCTCAGTTATAAAGGAATGTTGCAGGAAAGGTAAAAAAAGAATTAGAAACATGACATTTACTCTCATTTACATTATCTTTCCAGAATCAACGTATTTAAAAATAGCATAGCAATAGGATCTTAATGAGAAGATAAAATTATCATATCTCTGGAAAAGTGAAAGTTAGGC